GGTCAAATCCTCTGAGAAATGATAATGCCTGTACAAAATTCCATAGCAATGCATCAAATAGCCGATGAGATATTTCAGTCTCCAGTATGGGCCAAAATGGTGAACCTACTAACAGACACACACTGTGGAGGAAAAGAAAGAGATGGATAAGCGGAGATCCATAGTGAAAACAAGGAAAGAAAGAGACAGAAGAAAACAATGAAACAAGCTGAGAAATAAAAAATGGCAAAAACAAAGCGGTTGGGAATTAGCTACATGAAACGGAGCGACAGAGCCACAGAGAAAGACAGAAAGAGAGAGAAAGGCAGACATGAGAGGAGAGGGATGCCATGTGGGTTGCTGGGTAAAGCATGTTGAGAAAAGAGCTGTTCAACGGGCCCTTAAGAACCTGGAAGGCCCACGATTGAACTCTGAGGCTCAGTGGATCACAAGCAGAATTAAACCACTAAAGCTGAGAGCAGAAGAAGTCTTTACTTTTCTCACCCCCCCACTTTATTGACACTAATCTCTGTCAAGAAAATACTTAGTAAATTTGTAAATTTGGCTGATCAATTTGACAATATGGTCTGAAAGACACAGTTGTCTTTACCACCAGCAACTGGGTAAATATATGTGCATTTTATTTTTAAAACATATAAGAAAAGACTGAGTCACGCAATGCACACACATGTACACCTTCCCAATCCCAACCCGTCCAAGCACGAGAGAAAACTAACTGAGACCAACTCTTACCTGACCCAAGCCAGATGCAGGTAATATAGCTGTGCTGAGTTTGTTACTTTGTCGCTGACACACACGGTTATTGCTTGTTTTCCCTGATAACAGACATGAAGTGTAAACAAAAATCAGCCCGCCTCAACCCAAAATGTTGCCTGGCCTGTCCAAACCCGTCGGGATGCTCAGGTATTCACACACAAATACACAGGATATATGTGTTACATTAGGTAAAGACAGAAGACATACACAAATAGCTGATGAGAGCTAATTTGATGTGTCCTGGTCAGAGGGAAAATGTCAGGATGATATTCTGTGTCTGCTGTCTGTTTTGTGTGTGTGTGTGTATTTTGAGAGGGAATGCGTGTGTCTCCTGAGAGTGACAAAAGAATCAAAGTGTGTCCCTGACTGTTGCGGTATTGATGGTATTTGTGCAAAAAATAAATGCCCATTATCATGGCTTAAAGGAAACCATGAATGTCTGTAGAAATGTTGGAGAGATGTTGAGGTACTTTTCTGAAGAAGGGGCATTTTGACCTTATGTGGGTGCTGTATAAAAAGTCAAGTTATCACCACAGTAATTATGATTCATCATTCAGGCACAGTGAATGTCTGCACCACTGACTGTATATAATGATGGACAAAGCAGCTCCACTCTCTCCCTCTATCCTAAAATAAGCTAAGATTTTGCGCATATGGAGCCAGACTCACCACAGAAGCTGTTAGAGGATGGAGTCGCAGTTGTAAGATTGTGTCGATACAAGCGTTCACAAACATCAGTGTGATAAGATCAACCTAAAATCACAGAAACTGTCTTTGACGTAAATATCAATGTTAACTCTGGCTGCGTTGGGAAAGTCAAAATAATCTCCTTTCCTAACCGCTATTCCCTGACCCCGATGGAATACGTCACGGGGTCAAGGAAAAATGTGAAGGAGAAGAAGTAAGGAGATAGGAAAGGAGAACCAATGTGCGGAGAAAATCCGACTCCAATTGCAGTCAGCTGTTTTAAAAGAAAAAAACTTTATTTATACCAGAAGATATGCTCAAAATGTACAGTACTCTGTGCTGACAGTTATAATAAAGTATCCTTTCCAAAACAGAATGAAATGTTCTGAGAAAAGATGCTTTCAGTTTATACAGAGACAATATTTAACCGTCAGTTACTCACAGAGATAAACAACAAAATAGATTTATTTATTATGGATCGTGTCAGGAGAATAAAACAGCTGTTATGTTTTTTTATATTTACATGGGTGTGTCCAGGTGCAAATACAAGGTTGCGTCATTTTAAATGCTGCTGCTGCAAAGAATTGTGGGGCGGCATGTTCTCCTTTCCCTTCACAAAGGACGGCCCGGTGTTTCCTATGCTAAAGAACATAATTTAGGAAGCCCTGAAGCTCCTTTCCTTATCACTTTAAGACCTTCCCAACGCAGCCTCTGGTGCCACCAGGTGCTGATGGAGAAGATTTGTCAACCAAAATCTGCACCGAATGTCAAGGCAATCCATTCAAAGGTTGTTTAAAATGTCAACCTAATGATGGGGCAAATATAGGAGGGTTTGTCCTCTGGGAATTATGAATGACTGTACACAATTTAATCTAGAAGGTGCTGTATCTTGACCAAACTGATTGACTAACCAATTGAACAACATTACATTCTCTACAACCAGGCCGTTAGCATAACAGAGGAATTTAGAAAAGCAGAGATTAAAGAGTTTTCCTCCCCTGCAACAATATGATGTGTAGTCAAAGGCCTCTCTGCTAATCGTGGGTTCACACATTCTGATCATGCAAAAAATGAAGCTGGCCCTCGCTGTCTAAAAGTTGATGGTGTTTAGAAGCTTCCTGAATTCATTATGAGATTACAGTCTGCCACTGTTGACCTCCCCACAAGTTTTATCTGCTCTCAGCAAGCCTTTCGGTCTTGTTCGAATGAGGAAAATTTCCATTAATGCGAAGATCTTCTTTTATGACCATTTCAACGTGAGAGTGGACTCAACGTAACTGCACAGAGGATTGCAGAGATTTTCTGTGTTCGTAGTTCAAAACACTGCAGAAATCCATTAAAAAGAAAAGCAATTCTTGAGTTCAATCTGAAATGAAATGATCTTATTTGAGCTTCAATTTAAGAGAAAGGTGGAAATGGTGGGAGAGGCTGAGAAGAGTATGAAAGTAAGAACAGATTAGTCAGTTGATGTCTCATCTTCAAACTCTGACAGCCTCCAGTGTCTCACTCAGCGGGTGAATCCTCTTTAATCAGCTGGCCTCCTTCTAAAACACAGCTTCTGTAGAGCCCTAACCCTCTGACTACTGTTGCTTTTGAAGATGATGTCTGATTTGTTACACGGTAGGAGCCAAAAAGAAAAATGGAGCTGTGGCTTGAATGTCAATATCAGCAACTCACATTTGCAGTTTCCATTAGCTATTATTTTCCATGCTTATTTTCCTAGAAATAACCACCTGAGGAATGTAACAGTAAAACCTGTGCATAAATCAGTAAGAACAATATACCTCTACAGAGACTTTAATAAATAACATCCTGAACAATGGCAAAGATAACAGGAACTATGGTGTCACTAACCCTCATTACTCACACTTTGGAAAACTATTTTGAGATTTGTTATAACATCCTTAAGGTTTATGCTGCATTTCTGAAAAAACCTAAACCTAAATAGAGATTTTTTTTCTCTTTTTTAGATAAAACCTGTTAAAGTTAAATTGAATATAAAAATATGATGTTTTCAGTCCTGTTTTATATAGGTTCTGTGTATATAAAAGTAGAAAAAGTCAGCATTATAGGGAAACACTGCTCCTGAAGCTGCTCAAACATCTGATCAGTAGTCAGGGCCAAACATCTGCATCATTGTGTTGTCACACGCCATCAAGGTGGACCACATCTGCATAATGTACACCTAGCAACTAGTCTGGCAAGCCCCTCAACAAAGTCGGGTAAAGCAAGAGCACGCTATACTCCCTCAAAGCTTAGATCGATCACAACATAGCGGGCCAGCTGGCAATAAGAAGACTTATCAGGAAGCGGTCCTTAACGGGTCAGGATTGTTTCAGACAGAGGCTGAAAAGAGAAGCTGCAGCAATGGACAGTATGAGTAAAGTTTTTTTAGTACGTTTTTTGAACATTATAGCAAGTGAACCTTTTGAAGTACTAACGTAATTAAAATGATACACCTGAATGTGAGCATAATAATTCTCCTTTAAGCACACACATGACTACACTCATCTCTAGTTATATGAAGTGAGTACTGACTGCTGAAAGAAAGAAAGTTTCACTATCATTGGTTTGTAAACCCTCGATATAGCAGCCCTTGTTGTGTCCTTTCTGGAGCCTTTAAGCCTCCTGTGTTGTCAAACTGCAGCCCAGTCAGATTTGTTTAATCATCCTTAACATTGCCCAAAATAACATTTACAAAATACAAATTTGCTCTTAATGTAAAAAAACATGTTTCCCTCTCTTTGCTCTCAAGTATAATCTGTTCTTAATCCTACCTCTCTTGCTACCCTCTCATTACCACCCTGATCATCTTCCTTTACACCTCCTCTTTTTCTCTCATCTTCACAGGGGTGGATACTTTGCCCATGGCACAACACTTGGTAGTCTGCATAGCAAGTCAGCCAGAAGGTAAAACAGAGGAAAATGCTCTAAAATGTGTGTTTTGGGGTAAATGTTTGGGCTTGTGAGCTCATGACAAAATAAAATAAAAATGGCACTGTAAACAATAATTATGAAAAAAAAAAAACAATAAATGTTTGACCACACAATGCAAAAAAGTAAGAAATGAGATGGAAAGAAATGAATATGACTGGAAAACAGTGCTCAGTGAAGTGACAAAAAGGGAGGAGGAGAGAAAAGCCAAAGAGCAGTGATTATGTTTGTATGTGATGATATTCGGCTGTGATGCTACTGTTAAGAAGCCAGATCCCCCCAGTGAGCTGGCAACCAAAGTCACCTTCTGGCAGCTGTCTACTGCCATCTACTAATGCACTCACAACGACTTTTGAACCCCACAGTTAATGACCAGGGCGGTAATGGAGAGGGATGTAGGCCATGAACAGCCTGGTGGACTGTTTTAATGTGGCTTCCCTCCACACGGCCAGAGCAACTGAAATTAATTTACACACATATGAAGCTGCAGTATGTAAAGTTTATCACCATCAGTATGAAAGCATGCAGTGTGTCTTTACTCTGTGTGAATGCCAATCTGTGTCTCACTGCCAACTAGAAAGAGAAAGGTTTATGGCGCCCCCTGTGTCTTGTGTGCAAATTACCTGAAAATCCCTCTCCTCTAGAATCTCTTTCCTCCACCTCACCAGGAAGGCTGCACACACGTAGAGGTGGAAATGGGAGAAGCCCTCTGGTTCGGCCTGGTGAGAGAGAGAGAGAAATGAAGATGTTGAGGACATGTTTTGATTTAACACAGAGTTTAACAATACACAGCCACGAAACAACCTTCATCACAGCTGGACATAAAGACAGATTCTCACTTTATTAAGCAGTATCTCCCATTTATTATCTAGACTGTGGTGCTGTCCATATTCTGAGTTGTCACTTTTCATAACAACCCAAAACATTTTTTTACGCTTCTCATAACAACATAAAAGATCTCTCACTTGGTGTTTTGCTTGGTTGCTGCATTGTATATGTGTGTAATGCTATTTGTCCATTAAGTAGTTGCTGTCCCTGCAGAGAGTGGGATCTCATTGTTCCAGCTGCAGTTGTGCATCTACCCGCATTTAGCGTTCAATACATTTTCCACTCTCACATGACAACATGCCTTTCATTCTTTTGTCTTTGGGCCTATTACTCGGAACCTGCATGAGTTTGTTCACATTTTCTCCCACTACAGCTATGTATTAAATTCATTCTGTGGGAAACGCTGTTCAGAATATCTTTAGTCAGTGTTTTCATTACTTTTAATTTCAAGAAACATTTTTCTGCCGTATACACACACACAATTGCAAAAAAACCAAAAACATTTACACATTTTTCTGTTAGAATCCAGACATTTATATTTGCAAAGCAATAGAGACAAAAAAAGATCCAAATCCCCTCATCTTTCCACTGCTATTTTTCTTTAAACAGCCCATAATTTCATTCGGTTCATTTTTTTTTTATGGCTCAGCAATGAATGAGGGAATTACAGAGAGGGAAAGACAAAAGATGAGATGTTCCCTATTCATTTTCTCTCCAGAGCCATATCACAGAGCAGATAATTACCAGGGTATTTGAATGGAAGCGAATTAAGAGAACATGCTCCCATAAAGCTGGGACACAAAATCCAAAGTGCATCTTAAAACATGACATTTCCTGAATGCACTCTGGCTCGTCCAGGGGTTTCACTCCCCCACATGTTACTACAGGTTAAAATTCATAGAATCCCTGTGTGTATGCATGTGTAGTCCCTGAACGTACACAAGTGGATACAATTCACACACAAATACACTCAGGTTCTTTGGTAATAGCGTGAATTCATGAATTTTTCTACACGTCTGCTCTCTGATGTGTCTGCTTTGATAGTATTCTGCATTAAAATTTTACAAGGGAAGTATCATTTAAGCTCACACACGCATGTTTTTTAAAATTCTATGACACACACTGTGTAGTGTCTTAGGCACAGGTGAGTTGATAAAGAGCCAGGGGCTACGCACACGTTTCGTAAGGCAGCCATGTTCAGCACATTTGTGTGCTAATTTCCACAATTACAGTTAAACAGAGGGTGAAGTCTTACTCATGTGTGTGTGTCAAGTGCTGTGGTTTAACTGCCATCATCATCTGTGTATAACAATGAGCCATAACTCTGCAGGAATGAGCAGAAAATGCCTTTCTGCTGTGATAACGGAATTTATCTCCAGGAAGGACGGATGGAATAAACAAATAAATAGTAAATAGACAGATTGTAACAGAGAGGTGATGTTATAAGGCATATTAACCTGCATTAGATTAAATTAAAGTAAAATAAAAAACTAATCTCTTATAACAACAATGTTGTTTCTCTTGTGTTTGGGCTTTTAAGACAGATTGATCCCCTCTACGCCTCTGTGTACATCTCCTGTTGTTTGGGTTTCCTCCTACTTTGCCTCCCACTTAGTTAACACAATTCAGAATCTCCCAACTGAGAGTGTGTTTATGTACGTGTGTGTGTGTGAGTGAGAGAGAGGAATGGAAAGACATTGAAAGACACACACACACACACACACACATATACA